TTATAGGATCCTTAAGGGGGGGTGGTTCAAGGGGGGAGGGTACTAGGGAGCTTTGGGGAACCTTAGGGAAGCTTAGGGAGTATTGGGGAATAATGGGGATTACTAGGTTACCTACCCCCCTTGGACCACCCCCCCTTAAGGACATCCTAAAGGGTCCTCTCTTCTCATCGTCTCCTAGAACGCTGTCTTGGATGGTGACTGTTCCCTTGACTGGAAGTCTGACTTCCAAGTCTTCATCTCCTTCGAAGGTCCAAGAGCGCTCTTCATGAAGTAGATCCTTGATCAAACCCCTATAGAGTCTATAGAGGTTCTCCAAAAACTGGCTGCGGCTTTCACAAGCGGACCTGCCTTGCAGCCATCACACATTTAAAGGGCAACACGCACACAAAACTGCGAAACCCCTAAACCCTAAACCCTGAACCCAAGACCCTAAACACTGTAAACACCAAACCCAGAACCCTACACCTTAAGTGCTAAACCCCTAGACCCAAATCCCCCGAAGTCAAAACCTAAAGCCCCTAAACCCTCAACCTCTTTATCACGGGCCTTTAAGATCTCTGAACTATTGGTCCAAGGGCTGAGGTGTGATCATGTCCTGTCTCTCCCGGACCGACCTGTGCCAGGGGTAACCCTTTAGAGGGATCCTCCAAGGACTCGTACAGAACCCTTACAGGAGCCCGGAGCAACGGGTTCAGGGTCTAGGATACCCAGAGAGCCCAATTAATACTCCTTGATTAAGGAGTATGGCTTAGATCATAATATGATTCCCCTTATACTTTAAGGTATATTCCTTACTTACGGGGTTTTGGGCTCTCTGGATACTTATGTTTAGGAGGCTTCTCAAGCGCCGGCCTGGGTTGGGGGCTGTGGTTAAGGCAAAGGCGCTTCAGGTTCTGGGCTTAGGATCCGGGACCTAGGATTTTAGGGTTTTAGGGTTTGGGGTTTAAAAGTTTAGGGTCTAATTGGAGGTTCAGGGGTAGTTTGAAGTAGGGTCGTAAGTAGGATAGCTATAGTTACAAGTTATGCTGGGGCTAGGGTCGACTTGGAGGTTCAGGGGTTGTTATAAGTAGGGCCATAAGTAGGATAACTATAATGATGAACCGTATTAACGGACTTATAACCCCACTCCTAGGTCCTACCCATGAACCTTCGAGCAGGTCCTACCCAGAGAGCCCAATACCCCTTAATTACGGAATATAACTACCTCAAATCATAACGGGATTCATATTATGACTTAATTATATAAGCGAACGTCACTTCTGAAGTTGGAGCAAGTCTGTCCTGCACACGCAATCAAACCTACGGAGAACCGGCACTGCGAGACCCCAACCCCAAACCAATTAAGCTATAGCTGTAGCCGAATGACCCACCTTTTTGAGGTTCCTTGTGATGGTTTCTGCATATAGCTCCTTAAGAAGGTAGGTCTTGTCGGCTACAGGTACTCCTTAATCAAGGATTATTGAGGCTCTCTGGGTAGGGGTTTAGAGTTTCGAAAGGCTTTGGCTGGGGCTCGGGAGGTCTCGGGTTCAGGAAAGAGGCCGAAACCCCAAACCAGAAACCACAAACCAAAAAAAAAGAAACGTAAACTCCACCTAACCCCAACTAACCTACCTTTTTAAGAACGTATATAAGGACATCACTATAGGGAAGCCTAAAAACGAAGGTTTTCTAGGCTCCAGGTACCGCTTGGGGTTGCGAGGACGGGTCACGGCGAGGGCTTTTCGTAAACTTCAGGTGGGAGTTTCCTGAAATCAAACGTCGCTAGCTTCCAGAATGCTAATCATGCTAATACTGCTACAAGAAAAACTACGAATCATGCCAAGAAAACGAAGATACCGAGATACCCAGAATGCCAAAAAATACTGACAATTCGAACAAGAATACCAAGAATATCAATGATGCTGACAGTAGTAACAGTACTACTCAACACGATCCTACTATGTTGGGTCTTTCTTAGAAGCGCCTCACTTGCCGAAACTATCCCCTCCCCTGAACCCCAAGCCCTAAACCCCTAAGCCCTAAACCCTAAACCCTAAACTCTAATCCCTAAACCCCAAGCCCGAAACCCCTAAACCCAAAGCCCCTGCAAACCCTAAACGCCTAAACCCATTACCCTACACACCTAGACCCAGACCCTACACCTCTAAAGCCTTAACCCTGAACGCCCACTTTCCAATAGGAAAGCTCGCCGGGCCGATACATGTCAGAATCAACTACCGGTTACAAACTCATTCCCCGTGGTCTGCATCGTGGTAGTCACAGCAACAGTAGTAAGAGGTAGTGGCGCTGGCAGCAGAGTAGGGGTAGGAGTAGGAGTAGGAGCAGGAGTAGGAGTAGGAGTCAGAGCAGGAGTGTGAGTCGGAGTAGGAGCAGGAGCAGTCGCCGTGCTTAGGTGGTAGCGCATGTGGCCTGCAGCCCCAACCCTAAGCCTGAATCCTTCAACGACAAACCAAAAAACCTTGAAGCGCCATCATAAAGCACTATACAATCTTTTCAGACTCTAAGCCCCGTAAGAACCTCTCGAAGCCCCCACTGCTTCCGGCAGCCTGACGACCGAGCGATGGAGAGAGCGTTTGGTCCGCTGAGCCTTGACAAAGTAGTGCTAGTGCTAGTGCTAGTGCTAGCGGTAGCGGTCGCGGTAGTGGTATGTGGCAGTAGTAATCACAACAGGGTTTTGGGATGTGGTAAGACTGCCAAGGAAGACGGCTGGAATAACATACATTTTGCCTGGAACGCTTTGGAACCAGTCAGACGAACGCGATGCTAAAGTTAACCCTCGGAGTACCCGCCACCTAACACCCTTCAGGACCGACCTTGCGCTTGCGGCCACCGTTTTTCACCGACCTGGTCTGCTTCGACAGTGTTCATAGGGTGTCGGGCTTTAAGGTTTGGGCTTTCAGATTCGGGAGCTAGGGTTTAGAGTTTAGCATTGCGGGATTTCGGATTCAAACTTCAGGGTGCAGTACGGTTTCGGGGAAAAGCCGTTCATGATTGAAGAAGCCGTCACAGGACTGGCTATAAGTGCCAAGATGTGTGCGCGTGTGTGTGTGTATACATATCTACGTCTGTTTATACAACAAATACATACATGTGTGTTACATACAACATTACAACACAAACGTCTCGACGTGAGCCACAGTGCCGCTCCAAAACAGCTATCGGGAGCAAGCTGACAGGCTGCACTATGAACCGAAAAAATGGAGGCACTGAACAAGCCTGGCAAGCTTCCAGGATGGCGATGACGGCAACGCTACAAGTAAACATCACGAGTTCGGACAGACCCCATCTACCAAACCACAAATCATGAACATCTCACATCCCTTGCAACGGCTACATCTTCCGCTGCCCTTAGAGGAACCTTATGTGAAAAATTGTTGGAGCCCCGTTGTGGAACCTTTGAAGACCGAGGCGATCCGAGGCGCATCCGTGACTTCATCTTGTAGTAGGCTAGCAAACGCTTTCCGTCCTCCTGCGAAGAACATTGTCAACGGACCGCTGTGATGAAATTGCATCTAAGCCTTTATAGCGAGCACCCCCGCAATGAAATTTGAGATACACACCCACCATTTTTCAGAAAGCTGAAGATATACCCTGCTCTTTATACTTTCGCCCCGAAGGCTTTCCGACGTGGTTTTTGGGGGCATACGCCGCTTGAACTTTTGTACCAGAAAAATTTCAAAGCACACATTACTGGGTTTCGAGCTTAGGGCGTGGGCCTTCTCGTAGCTGAAGATTTGGGATGATCGGCGCATTTTGCTCTTCCGGATGTCATGGGGTTCAATGGTGCTGCTTCTCGTGATTGTAGTTCGGGGTTCCTGCTATCGGGGTGTTTGCAAATTATTCCCAAGGCTCAACCTCCAAACTCTCCAATGCCGTACGTACTTCTACGACCTGGATGCTGACCCCTGCTGACGACACGAAAACAACAAGCCATGCAATTTGGGTGCAATCGACTCCCTGCAAGGTTGTTGAATTTGGGAAGGTCGCAATCCTGAGCCACCCTCTGAGGCAGCGGTAATGGCCGGCGGGCCCACCCTCATGTTTCATTAGGATGCCAACAATGTAAGGCTTAGCCCAAGACCAAGCAGTGCAGAGAGGATTGTTTCGTGGGCAGAAAGCTGAATGTCAGGGACTCAAAAGCCGGACTCTGAAAGTCCTGCATGGACGCCGAACGGACGGAAACCAATGCACATGCCGTATCTATCCGCGAAGCAAAACGATTTTCCAAAAGTCTTGGGATCATCGTCAGTCGAACCAAGGCAACCAGTATCAACATGCGTTTAATGGTTATGTTGGTGTTAGCTCATGTAGCTTTGATGTGGATTTCTGGTCGTTGACCACCCGCGCCTGGTTTTTACTATGTTCCGTCCAATTGTCTCTGTATGCGCGTATGTCCGTCAGTCTGACAGGCGTGCGTGTGTCCCCGCGTAAACTGTCTCTGTCTGCCTGTCTGTCTGTGTACTTGTGTGTCCGTGTGTCTCTATGTGTGGCGAAGCTGTTCCTTCTAAGCTTATTGTTCGTATTACTGTTGATGTTTTTATTGCTCGCATTCTTCTTCCAGGAAGAAGAACAAAACCATGATTATCAATGCTACTAGGAATCTGTGGAATATCTGAAGGGCTTGAGGGGCTCGTTCGGGTCCTCCGTCGATCAAGCGTAGTGTCACAAGGCTTACGGTGCCTTCAAACCCAGCTCGCGACCATTAACCCTCGAGGCTCCCTATCGAATTGTTTTCCGCACAAACAGCAAGTCTGGCAACGTTCTTGCCTTACATGGCTACTGCTTCGGCCGATCATGGCTTAGCGTCTGCCGATTATGGCTGTGCTTCTGCCGATCATGGCACATGCCTTGCTGCTGGCTTCCTTCGAGCCTTTCGCATCACAGCAAGCAAACCTGGGCAGCTCCACTGTCCTGACTTTACATGGTTTGCTTCAAAGACACAAGTGACATGCAGAGGTTTCTTCACCCCTCCTTGGTGTGGACGTAAGTCCTTCACCACTTCATCTTAGCCAGCTGGATCCCCTGTACTCGGTCTCCTCACGCTGGCCTTTTATGCACTTCTGACACACGTCGCGCTCCTGAAACCTCGTAGATAAATTCAGGGTAGAGCACGACCTCGATGCATGAACGCACGTCCCCTTTGGCGTCATGAACACCTTCTTTGGGATTTCCCCTTGCAGCTCACACTGTATAGCCGCATCTTGCGTTGCCGGGATTCTCCGGGAACGACCGCTGACCAGCTGGGGCCTTTCGGTCCACATCGGATCTTCCCAGCTCGCCATCGGCATTGGCGAGCTCATCTTTGAACTCTTCTTCACTGGCCTTTCCGGGGTCGCATACGGCTTCGGCGGAGGGGGGTAGTCCTCCTCTCCTGGCTTGACCCCGGCAGAACATGTCTGTTCCCTTTGGGGCTCATCTTGTCTCGTAGGCTTCATCGAGACATTCATCCCCACTGCCTCCGAGACATCTGAGCCACAAAGGCCCGCCAGATGAATCAAGTCCATTCTCTCCTCATGCGAGAGAGATTCCCGATCTCGCTGCAGCAAGGCACTCAGCGTCCGTAGCTCCACTTTTGTTAAGCGTTGACGCCCTTGTGCGGCCTCGACGCTCCTCAGCCTCGCCACTTCGCCTCTTCCCTTGACTGCATTCTTGCAGCCTTCCCACATAGCCACCGCGCAAATCATCAGCATCGCTGCCAGTGCGTACAGCTCCCAGGAAGTAGTTAGAGACAACGGCTCGGGGTCCGGGTCGGTTTCTGTAACCCTATGCCCTTGTACGCTTACTAACCATTGAGCTAGCACTAACAACCCCATACAACAACCCAAGTTCTTCCCGTGGGCTGTGGATGGTGTAGGTGATGTTGTGTTGCTGGTGGGCTGCAGGTGTTCTTGCTGCTCTCGTTGCTCCTGTTGCTTTGCTGGGGCTTGCAGACACCGAAGTCGCTCTTGACCGTCTTCTCCTCGATCTCGTTCTCCTGGCCTCCCCAGGCCCCATTTTCGCATCAGCATTTCCATGCGTTTCGAAGCCAAGATCTTCGTCAAGCCGTCGGCAAGCTGCCATTCCCCTGGGCAGTAGGCTATGGTTGCCCAGCCGTCTTGGATCCTCTGTCTCAAAGCCGCCGCTCTCACTTTCAAGTGCCTTGTTCGCCAGCTGCCACCCTCTTCGGAGGCTAACGTGATGGCTGCCGAGTTGTCCACTCGGATCTCACGGGATGTGGGGGTTACGCCCACGTCCGACAGCATAGCGTCGATCGAATAGGTGAGGGTCGCTCCCTCCGACGCCTCTAGCAGCTCCGTTTCGGCGCTGCTGGTTGTCACCAACGATTGCCTGCTGCTCTTCCATGCCACCGGTGCCCCTGCCCAGAACACCACTGCTCCTCCATGACTTTTCTCCCCATCAGGGGAGTAACTGCTGTCCGTGTAGGTGACGAGTTCCGGTAGGCCGCCGGTGTGGTAGTTGAGCTTCCACTCCTTTGTGGCATTGAGGTAGGCGAGGGTCTTGCGCCCGATGGTGCAGACCCGCACTGGGTCTCTCGTGGTTAAACTTCCCATCACGCTCACGGTGTAGGACAGATCTGGCCTGCACCTTTGGGCCAGCCAGGCCAGCTCTCCTGTGATCGACTGGGCTGCTCGCAGCTGCTCCTGAGTATAGGTCTCCGGAAAAGTTCCGGCATCCAAACTCATCCACTCTTTAGCCGACGGCAGTAAGGACTTTTTCGTCGGTCCCACATCGTGTTGGCGTAGAAGTTCTTGGATGTACCCCTCCTGATCCAGGGCGTAGCCGGATATGTTTCCCTCGCCATCCACTTCTTGCTTGATTTCCATGCCAAGAAATCTCACTGATGCCGTAGGCGACGCATACTGGCACGGAGTGACTTCCCATGTTGATGCCATCCACTCATAGGCATCATCCGTCACCCATCGTGGTCCCAGAATAAGAAAATCATCCACGTAGACAATCATCAGGCCAACTGTGGATTGGTCGGCCCCTTTGATTTGCCACACATCAGCATCTGCTTGGCCTTGGACAAATGTCAGCCCGGCCTTTGTGATGGCTTCCTTCATCTTCTGGGTCCTATGGGTGCTCCACCACCGCGGTGACGATCTAAAGCCATACAGTGCCATTTGCACTACCCAGATCTCGTCGGGTTCTGCTAGGCCGGCCTTGACAAGGGCTGCCGGCGGCCGCAGCGCCAAGCGAGTGCCTTCAGGAACCGGAGCCCGCAGGAAGGCGCTGACCACGTCTCCAGTGCACGCGGACCATTTTCTCCGCGAGCCCTCTGCGATCCCCAGCCGGACCGCCTCTGCAACCGCTCCTCCGGAGTAGTTGATTTCATCATCGGACTTTGGCTGAAAGTTTCCACACGACACTATGCGAGCCTTTCGTCGATATCTTGTGCCCTCCTTGGAGGGCGGTTTCACTGTGTAGACTGCTTTTCCGGGGACTATCACCGTCCCGGGCTGGGCCATGTAGTCTCTGGCCTCCTTCCCTCGCAGCCTCTTCACAGCGTTGATGCCAACCAGGGTGTCCACTTCTGCCTTCAAGGCGGGAATCCACTCGTCGATGGCCTGCTCCACCTCACTGGGGTGTACCGTATGCACCACCCGTAGGTCGCCGTCGAGCTCCGCGAGCACTTTCTCAATGTCCCGAGTGTAGAGGCTCTCCGCCCGCTGCTTTTGCACACCTTTTGACATCCTCATCAACCTCCACGATAGAGTCTCTCGCCTCTCCGGTGAGCACAAAGTCCTCCTCATCAACCTCGTACTCAGCTCCACTGATCTTCTCGGTCTGCTCCTTCAACGCCTTGAGCCGTGCCTCGAAGTCTTCTTCATCAGGGAGAACGAACCCATTCTCAAACAACTCCTCGCGCATGTCGTTAGTGAGCTTCCTCCACGAGTTGATGGTGTGCCCCGCAATCAATACGCGGGGGCCTTCAGTCCCTTGAATTGGACTGTGCCACCTCCTGGGATTCACCTTGACAGGGCTTGTCAGCTGGTGGACTTGGCCAGGCACATCCTTGCCGTTCACATCCAGGGAGTGGTACTTGCCCTTGAAAACATCGCCGGCCTGCAGCTCCTCCCATACACCTGCACCCTTCGTGACCTTCAGCGGTGAAATCAGGTTGTAAGAATGCCGCTCATTGAAGGAGTCCTTGTGGGTTGGCATGGCCGCATTCCTCACAATTGTTGCCGACGTAAAAACCTCCCCTGGGAAATCGTGCTGGAGTAGCTGAGTGACCCTTGCCGTGAGCTCTGGGGCCTCCTTGGTATACTTTGTGATCCCAAACTTTCCCCCGAAGTTGTAGGCGCCCACGGTGGAGTAGCTGGTATCCTCGTGCATCACCTTCTCGTTCGCAAGCTGGGGTCTCTTCACTTTGTGAACTGGATCCCGCGCCATGAGGTCAAGGATTTCCTTCACCAAGGTCTCCCGAAGCTTGCCCTCGTCTTTCTTTTCCAAACTCTTCACCGCCACGCCGTCTGGTCCTATGGGTCCCTTTCCTCGTAGCCTTCTCGCTGGCCTCAGGGGTAGCACTTCGATCTCCTCCTCATCCTTTAAGGATCCCGGATCACGGAGTCGCGCCCTAAGGTGGGTAGTAACGGTAAATCGGTTGCTCTCGTCCTCCAAGATCACCGAGCCGCCGTTCACGTCCCACACCGGTCCCATGTAGACCCCCTTCGTCCAGTGAGGTAGTAGATCATGTCGTCCTCCATCCCCGTACCGCTTCTTCTTGATTGCCACTCGAGTCCCATAGGGGCACGGCACCTGTGGATCCTCTGGTCGTAGTCGTTCTTCACGCTGCCGGTGTGCTGCCGCCTCCATTGCCGTCGCCCAGTGCTCGGTTCCCAGGCCCGCTGCCTTCAACAACATCCTTGCTCGCCCCTTTAGGAACCTCACTGCCCTCTCCGCTGAGCCATTGCTTTGAGGAGCCTGGCCCTCGGTCCTTGTGAGCCAAATGTTGTTGTCCAGCGTCCAAGCTCTCAACGCCGGGGATCTCATCTCGTGGGCGCGGTCCGAATGGATACGAAGCACAGGCAGATTTTCTTGTCGTAGCTGTAGCACCACCTCTTGGATCGCTCGCATGACTTCCTTCCCCGTCTTCGTCTTGAGGGGTTTCATAAAGTAGAGGTGATCCATTGGGATCTCGTGGTTCCCTTCCAGTGGTTCTTGCTCTGCCGATACCTTCGCCTGTTCCTCCGCTGCTAGATCATCATCATCCCACAGCTTGTCCGCCGCCTTCATGGCCTGAACCTTCGGCGGCAACTCCTCTTCAACCTCCGGCTCGGAAGGCTCTATGTCCGCTAGCTCGGACTCCAAAAGCGCTTGTCGCCCCTCCTCGTCCAACGGCTCGTCCACCGCCTTTTCAGGCTCCAAGTCGGAGAAGTCATACTCCAGCGAGGCCATATCACCTGGATCAGGTTCTGGGGGTGGATCTTGATCTGGAAACCTTGGCCTTGAGTAGGATGCTGCCAGAAAGTAACGGTACCCCCGTCCATGCGAGTCTTTGCTCTTGATCCTCATTGGCCCGCCAACGTCGATGCTCAGCACATAGGCACTCTTCTGTCTCGTTCGCCTATGCTGTTTTCCGGACCCCATCATCATCACGCAGTACTCGCAGTCCTTTCTATAGGGTACATGATCTCGTTGAACATGCAGCTTCCATCCCTGCTCCGCTGTCAACTTGCGGAGCTCGCCTTGAGGCTCCCAGGCTACTGTAGACGCCACTCCCGAAGTCCTTAGTGCCGTTGCTGCCGACCTTCTCGTTCGTGCCTTTGCTTCGCACCACGTCGTAGAAATCGGAGTAGAGATCTCCTCGCTGGGCTCCATGAGCTCATTCGCGCCAAAGTTGCTGCTAACGGTGAGCGCTGGGCCTTTTCCCTCTTCATCTTCCGTTACGCCAACCGTAGTCATTGACGCTCCCAACGGTTTGATCACCTCGAGAAATTCCTTGACCATTGGTGTTTGCCAAAGATTCACTCCTTCGCGAGGGTCTGTTGTTTCCGTTGGGTCTCCCGGCGCGCTCATCATCCAGGCCACCTGCTTCCCCTTCGAACAGGCGTGCGCCACCAGGTAGAGGAGAAACTGCCTGGCGACCAAAGAAGTCTCCTTATTCACATAGAAGATCTCCGTAGGATTTAGTCCCGTGACTCCATAGGGCTCTTCGGCGGTTCTCCTTGGCTTTGGCTCCTTGGAATCCACATACGGTCGGGACTCGAAGGTCTTCACGGGCGGGGTTCCTATCACGGCTTTGATCCGCGAGGTCATTGCCGCCCACATCATCGCTTTGTAGGCCTTGCCCCGCACGCTCCAACCACCATCCAGGAGGATCTCCGCATTCACCACGACCACCTCGGTGTTCGTGTCCTTATTGATCTGACCATTCAACGACTGCACGGGGTCCTGCTTCAGGTTCCGCCCACCATAAAGATTGAGCACCCACGCCCTTGACCGCAGGAGCTTCTTTCGAATCCGCCTCGACACCGGGAGCGCCTTCAGGTACTCCCAGCCATCCTTATCATTCGCCTCCACATAGGGAGTCATGCCCATCAGGACGTCCTCGGGGAGGTTCTTGAAGACCGGGGATTTGTAGAGCGCTTGCAAACCATCCACAACGCAGCCTCCTTCCGCATAGGCCGCAAGGTCCTGCCTCCAGTCATCTTTCTTCACCTCCATCATCTTGATCGCATTGAGCCGATCCTGAAGGTCTTCTGTCTTCTGGCGTAGCTCCTCCACCCTCCGTGACTCCAGCTCTGCAATCAGCTGGGCTGCTTGAACTTCATCAGCAATCTCCGGGCATCCAGCTCGAATCCGAGTTCTGATTGTCCCATACTTCGGGTGACGGAGCATCAGGGCTCCACGGGTCCATCTCAGGGTGCAGCCTAAGGATTCAACGAGCTTGCCGAGAGGGATTATAGTTTGCGCTTGCTCTCCTTCACGGGGATTCAGGATGATGCTGCCCGCTGGTGTTTGTCGTAGTAGACGCCGCTCGTCGCCCGCCAACACCACCGGCACCTCCTTGCTGTTCAAATGCTCCATCTCGTCCCTTGCAGGGCGAAGCACATGTGTAGCCCCCGAGTCGAGCAACGCTCCTCGGCCGTTGTCCTCCTCGGACGCCGCTGCTTTGACCTTCAACGTTTTCAGCTTCATCTCGTCCAGCTGGCGCTGGATTGACTCGTAGGTTGGAGCCCCCGTTGAAGTAGAACTCGTCGTTGGTGCCGTAGTCGCCATCATAGACTTCAACATCTGATGCGCGTCAGACAGGATTTGTTGCAAGTCCCCTGGCGGCTCCTTCGAGGCACCCGTTGGGCTCCCGGTGGGCGAGGGCTCGGGCCCCGGCTGGGGCGTGTCCTTGGCAGTCGTCGCCGTTGTGACTGACCTCGTCGCTGGGGCTGCCGTAGTAGAGGAAGATGCCGTAGAGGAGGTCGCGCCTTTATCGCCCTTGCCCTTGCCCTTGGAACCCCCACTTGCGGGTGACTGCTGTGGAGCGTCTGAGTGCTTCTTTGTAGGGCAGTCCTTCTTTTGATGGCCCACAGCAGAACACGTTAAGCATCGGCCTGCCTTTGAAGTGCTCCCCCAATCATGCTGAAACTGGCAATCAGCACCTCGCCGACATCCATCGTCCGACTTCGCAAACCACTTGCAGAGCTTCTCCTTCCTGTCCGGCTTGACCTTTGCCGCGGGAGCTGTGGTAGTAGATGGCGAATCCTGAGCTGCCGATGCACTCTTGATCCTCGCACTTGCCCTCGAAGTGGCTGCTGTTGCGGTGCTGGTACTCAGTAGTTCCATTTCTGCCTGCAAGTGCTTGTGAAAGTCCAGCGTTGTAACCTCAGTTGGATTACTATCTAGCTGCAACCGATTTCTCATCATAGTTGTTCGCAGCCACACATCCTGGTTCTTTACCAAGACCGGGGCCACGATCAGCGCCAGCCCCTTCACCATGAGCACTGGGTCGGGGACCGCCACGGTGAGATCCTTGGCCCTCGTGAACCATCTTCCCCACCTTCGAAGCGCCTGCACCGCCGTTTCCGGCGTTTGCGCGCCTTCGGGCGAGGTCAACTGCTCAAGCAACAACGTTTTCTCCTGCTCGCCGCCCGGCCTGTACGTAGTGAGCAGCTTGAACACGAGCGACAGCGACGAACCTGTGACCTTTTTCGTCACCATCTCGCTTTTGACCTCCGGCGGGAGGGCACTCAGGATCATCCCTGCCGCCCTTGCATTGACCCGGCCATATTTTCCATGCTCCAGCTTCTCCATCGGAGTCGCCGTAACCCACTTTTTGTAGTGACCGTCGGCGATTTCCCGCACACCTGACCACCACTCATGACTTGTATCAGAGAGGTCTCCCATGATCGAACCCACTTCTTCCAGCCAGTCCTGGATATCTACAGGGCTCGTGTCCTTGCCAGGGAGCTCAAGTGTCGGTAGTGAGGAAATGCCCGGCTTCACGACTTCTGGGCCATCCTTTCTCTCCATCTGCTTCAACTGGACCTCTTGCAGCTGACGCATCCCGGTTGCAATCACCCCAAGCAGCTCCATAGGCGTAGGCTGTGCCGCATCTCTCTCTGGACTTTGTGATGGACCGGCTTCTCTCGCATGCCCCTCCTCAGCGTGATCCGCGCGCCCATGCCGCTCTTCACCACCTTGATGGTCCTCATTCGGTCCTTCTTCTGTAGCCCGATCACCACCTGGTAGCTGAGAATGCTGAGCCCGATCACCGCCTGGTAGCTGAGGTTGCTGAGCCCGATCACCGCCTGGTAGCTGAGGTTGCTGAGCCCGATCACCGCCTGGTAGCTGTGGTTGCTGAGCCCGATCACCGCCTGGTAGCTGTGGTTGCTGAGCCCGATCACCGCCTGGTAGCTGTGCAAAGTGCTGAGCCCGATCACCGCCTGGTAGCTGTGGTTGCTGAGCCCGATCACCGCCTGGTAGCTGTGGTTGCTGAGCCCGATCACCGCCTGGTAGCTGTGCAAAGTGCTGAGCCCGATCACCGCCTGGTAGCTGTGGTTGCTGAGCCCGATCACCGCCTGGTAGCTGTGGTTGCTGAGCCCGATCACCGCCTGGTAGCTGTGCAAAGTGCTGAGCCCGATCACCGCCTGGTAGCTGAGGATGCTGAGCCCGATCACCGCCTGGTAGCTGTGGATGCTGAGCCCGATCACCGCTTGGTAGCTGTGCTGCTGAGCCCGATCACCGCTTGGTAGCTGTGCAAAGTGCTGAGCCCGATCACCGCTTGGTAGCTGAGAATGCTGAGCCCGATCACCGCTTGGTAGCTGAGGATGCTGAGCCCGATCACCGCTTGGTAGCTGACGAGCCCTTTCATTCTCCTCCGCTCGTGCGCGGAGATCGTTCCGCTCTTTTCTCAGCTGCTCCACTTGTTGACGAAGGTCTCCCGTCTCACTTCGGTGATAGTTCATGAACTCTTGCAACTGTCTCTGCACTTCTGCTTGCACTGCCGAGGAAGCTGTAGACACCGAACCAACATGCTCTTGCTGAACCGGGGGCCCATACAAACTTGGCGCTTCACGTTCCAAGGCCCTCAGCCTCTGAAGCTGCTCGCCTGAAAACAAAGCTTGGCCCCCAGGTGATCTTCCGGTCCTTGGGGGCGGTAGATCTTCTGGCGGCGAGAAGTTCAAAGCCTGAACCACTTCCCTTCTCTCCGTTGACGAGAGCTGCTGCATTCGCTGCGGCGTGGTTTGCTGTTGTCTTGTGTATGGTGCTGGCATCAACTGCTGAAGAGGTGCTGGCTGCTGCTGCTGTTGGGGAGCTGCTAAGGTTTGCTGAGGTGAGGGAATCCCTTGGTTTGTCGTCATACCTAACCCTTCTAAAACCCTATCCTGAAGCCCACCCGCTCCCGTCGCCGTTGTCCTCAAAAAGTCGTAGTAGTAGACGTTGAACCTGCAGTAGCCAGACGCGGGCTTGCTGCAGTGGTTGCCGGGGTCTCAGCACTTACACAGGCTGAGGCTCGCCGCCGTAGCGGCGAGACAAGACTTGCTGGCGAACCTTCGCGAGCTCAAGCATGAGCTCAACATCATCTGCACGCCCCGGGCGGGGCCAAGCTAAAGTGCTGAAGATCACATCAGGCAGTGGTCTTACACTATCACGTAAGGCGGGACAGCACCACTCGTGCTGCCGGTCAGGGTTTGCGTTTTGACAAAAAGCACAAGTGTCGACTCGTTCGCCTCTGGTAGAGGCATAACGAGCCTGTGATACATAGTGCGCAGTATGCAATGCGGTAATGTGCGGCCGCATAACTAGGGGCGCTTTGTCCCTTTGCTTTGAAGCTTCCTTGGCTCGGGGCCCTGCCTGAGCCCAAGGCACATTACGCAGGGCATCGGCGGCCTTGGTGTCGGTGCCTCTAAAGACGGCCCATTGTTGGGCTCTCCAACCCTCTCGCAAGCAGTGAGCGATCAAGTTTTTACCGTCTTCGGGGGCTCTAAAGAGGCCGCTATGCGTGCGGGGTCCTAGGGGGAGGCGGTTGAGGTCCCTACCCGAAGCATTGATTTCAATGTCGGCATGCTGGTGTTTCCACTTCCAAGGGCAAATCTCTGAGAAGCCTTGGCGTTGCATCCATCGCCTGAGTAACGTGATTGGGCCTTGACTTCGTCGAAGCGAGGGCCAGCAATCCCGTACCTCACGGTTCAAGGTGGTAAGTACGTGAAGTGACTGTTCAAAGCCTATGCGAAAGCGCGGGCACGCGGTGTGGCCCATCAGGAGCCGGTGAAGAGGGCCGCGTGCGCCCAAGGAGTAGGTTTCACCCGCACATTTAGCAATGGCGTTTTGCAGTGGACGTATGTCCTTCAAGCTAGGTAGCCTAGACCAACCATTACAGACAGCCATGGCTAGCCCGGAACCCTTAGCAAAGAAAAGGCGCTGACCCCGAGAGATGGGCAGAGTCGCAGCCTCACTGATGATGTATGTAGCGGTTTTGAGCCGTTTGGTCTCCTCTGGAGAAGCGCCACTATGCCGCCGCGTAAGTTGGAGTTGAGTACCGAGTACTTTCGGCCGGGTTTTAACGGTACCGTGCGTACCAGTAGCCTGGAGCACCAGTCTTAACTGGCGCTGACTCTTGACTCCTCCAGTCGCTGCAAAATCAGATTTACTTTCATTCTCAGCGAGGTTGAGTAGGGCGGTTTCGCGACGCCAGGCCCTGCCAATTGCGGCGCAAAGCTGCGCGGACGATGAAAACCACGTTCGGTCGTCAAGAAACAAGCGATGAATGTGCCGTGCATGGCCAGGGAACTGACTGCTGGAGTGCTGCACGCGGGCTAAAGCTTCAGCCAACACGCAGTTGAGGGCGAGAGGGCTAGCAGCATCGCCTTGCGGCAGGCACTTAACATTGGTACAAGGCGCAGTGGCGATGCTGTTAGCAGTGCAGAGCCATCTCGCTTGAGTGGACCACGCGCGGCTAAGAGCGCCAAGAAAGTTGCTAGGCACGCCCATGCGGGCCATGGCGTGTTGGCTAAAGATCGCCGCAAGCTTGTCGAAAGCTTTGCTAAGATCGGCAGAGCCCATAAAGCGAAGGCTGCTGGGGTTGTGCTTGAAAGCAGGTAGCATGCCCTTTTCCAAGAGCATAAGAGGAGTGCAAAGAGCGGTGGCAACACACTTGCGACGGATGCCACCGTGCTGCTGGTGCGGCAGAGTGTCGCGGATCCACTCCGCGAGTTGTTTCATGCGAACAGAGCCCCACAAGCGGTACCAACAGCTGGAGAGACTGATGGGTCTGAGTGAGTCGAGTTCGCCAAAGGGTTTGCTGGGTTTCTGGAGGTGCGTTTGGCGCCAGTTGCAGAGCTGACTGGGCCACGGGCCCCCGTGCTCGATGGCAGCGAAGAGATCGCTAGCCATCTGGAGGGCACTGTCGGGTAAGTGCATCATTTCAGCTCCTCGCCATCCGTCCATACCTGGGGCCTTACCGCTTTGCGCCGCGGCTGCAGCACGGAGCTGAGCAGGAGTTAGGGGTGGCAACTGTGGGGCCGGATGGTTGGGAAAAGGGTGCGCTTCGGCAGGACGCTGCATTTCAGCCAAGTGCTCTTCTGTGCACGCCTGAGGCCAGACACTTCGCCAGTACACGCTGAGAGCTTCGGTCAAGTCGTTGCCGGTGAGGGCCTGGCCGGAACGGGGGCACTTAACGGAGGTAAGCGGGGGGTTAGTCTTATGCCTAGCGAGGCGTTTCCACACCTCAGCGGGTTGATTAAGGAGTCGGCGCCTCCACGCATCAATACGTGCCGCACTGATGCGCTCCTCTTCTGCAGCGATGGCGGTTTGGATCCATGCTGCTCCGTCTGTGCTGTTGTGGCAGTCAGTAAGGCAGATGGAACAGTCCAAGGCTGCGGCTTCCCTAGAAATGTTTTTACGAAGCTCTTCATGAGCCCGCTGTGGAAAAGACCACAGCTCTTGGCATCGGCGCCAAAGTCTCCTAAGTCTAGCCAACTTAATGGATTGACCTGGGACTACGTTGACACGGTGATGAGTGTGCTGAAGGCTAAAGGCGGGCTCAAGCTGCTTATTATGCTTATCGGCCATTTTGAGTTGGCGGGAATCTTCAGGGAGGACCTGGCGTAGTGCATCTGTGAAGGTGCAGTTTAGCGCAAACATGAAAGCAGACCAGTCCTTTTCGGAGGGCTTATGCTTGTTCCATGCCCCTTCCAAAGCCTTAGTCCAGCACTCCACTGAAACTTCCGTCGGCCTTGAGTAGTCAGGTTGAGGGGCCTGGCGGGCGGTGGGCCTTACTTCCTTAAAGAGGTTCTGACCGGTGTAAGCGACCATCTTATGGTCACTCCACTTGTCATCACAAACCCTTGGAACAACATGGCAACCGAGTTGAAGCGACCAGTCAAGGCAAACCTTACCCGACCAACGTGTAGGGATCGGAGTAGGGGCGGGGTCCGGGTCATGCTGCAACGAGTCCTTACAGGGGTAAATGCAACGAGCATTAAGCGAAGCCGCCCATGCCTGTAGAGGATCGCCACGCGGATCGTTGTTGAAGTCACCTGCAACAAAACATTTGTGCTGTCCTACCTTCGCAAGGTCTTCTGCCAGGGCTTCGCCGTATTTGTGCTTTTCGGCGAGAGTAAGGTTGGGTCTACGGTAGGCGGAAACAAGTTGTATCTGGTTAGTGGCAACCCGAAGAAATTCACCCTCGGGGCTACTAAAACGGGTAGCCGAAATGGCAGGGATGGCCTTAGCAACGCAGACAGCGACACCTCCACTGGGTCTCGCGTGCTTGTTTCTAGAAAAATTCTGTGTAGTGGCAAAAGACTCACAGTGAAAAATTTGCCAAAACTTCTGTGCGCGGGCGATCTCGTAGGCAGACCAGTCTTGAAGGAGAGTTTCCTGCAACAAGACGGCCTGCGCGCCCATGGCTTGTGCTTTTTCAAGAACAGCATGCCCGCGTTGGTGAAAGGATCGTATGTTGAGCTGAAGGATTAACATGTCATGTGCATCCTCTCCCGGCCTCTGTCGGGGGCCTGGGTTAGGATGTATGCCTTCAGAACACAAGTCCCTGATCCAAGTCTGCGCACATGGAAAAATCAGAAATTCGGGTGGGGTCCTAAACCAAAACCAAATCCGAAGAAGCAGGGTAGGGTTTAGGGCAAAAGCGTGCGTGTCAGCCCCAGCGGGCTGGTGATGCTGAAAATTGGCATAAACAGCGGTTGATCTCAGGCATGGGAGGCCTAGTCACTCCGTCTGGTGACGTTTCCGCTTTCCAAGGTTTTGGATCGGGACGTTCAGGGTTGCAGACAAGTTGCAATGGCCGGGGGCCTGTCTCGCATCGGCACACAAGCCGTTCTCCTTGCGCCACTGCGCTCGCCTGCGCTTCAGCTGCATGCGATAACGAAGGTCGGCCTCGGAGCGGTTCTCAGGTTTTGGTTTGCTTCGAGCAAGGGCCGTGCGAGCCCACTTGCTGATTTCACGGACTCGCTCACTGCTGATCTCAAGCGCGGCGGCAAGCTTGTTACGCTGAGATCTCTGCAAGCGGTGCCACCAAGCTGCGCGCTTAGTGTCGTGCATCGGTCTGCACTCGTAGGCAGCGACTTTGCCGCTACAGCCCTTGCAAAGGCAAACTTTGCAGATCCATGTATCACCTTGGTTCACACAGTCTTGAAGGCCATGGTGATGCACATGAACAAGCTGGTGCTGCTTGCTGCTCTGGTTGACGCGTAGCTGCGCTCGGAGTGTCATATTCTTTCGGCCCGGCAACGGGTGATCTTTCAAAGACGCGCCGTGAGCAGCAGCCAAGTGCTTTTTCCGATAGGCTTGGCCGTAGTTGCAGCCCTTAATCTGTATCTCTTGATGACAGAGAGGGCATGGCCAAGCCGTCCAATCTTTCAAGAACTGCTTTTGCGCAAGCTCATCCTTGCGGGCTTTGCGCTTTTTGATCTTATGTGGCTTAAGGGCAGGCTTGCACCGCAGGGATTTTGCGCCGCTGGCCGTCGGCTTATCATGCTGTTGAAGGGCCTCGCACGTGAGGCGGGTGTTGCCTTCATCCGCAGCCTGAGGGGCCACCTTCGCACTCTTTCGGCTGGTACTGCTCCTTGCCGGGGTATTGGGGGCCTTACGGGAAGAGGAGGACTTAGGCCTAACAGAACCTGCAAAGCTGTGGACAGACGGGGTTGGGGCATCGCTGTAGCCATCGGGAACCTGGGACTTAGCCGTAAGTCGAGGCTCCTGGGACGCTGGCTTAACAGTCTTGGCCCGACTGCTCGTGACGGTCCGAAAGGTTCGGTAAGTGTGGACGCTTGGGGTTTTGCTTCCCTGTGAGGGCCCGGCACCAGTGAGGTCAATGATCTCGTTGAACTTGGGACCCTGTTTGAGCCATGGTTTCGGGAATGGCGCTTCACGATCCTTGGCGGGCGGAGTCATGAATGTGAAGTGGCCCTCTCGCAAGATAAGAACGAGCGGGTGGCCCTGTCGGCATACCATGGCCTGCCCATCCTTGAACTTAGCAGAGAAGGTGTACCTTTGCCAGGTGTTATCCTTCCACTTCCAGATCACAGCTGGGTATCCGGATTTTTCGACAAGTGCTTGAATGGACATGCCGCATGCCCATGTGGTGGCAATGGCCTGATTGCGCAACCAATCGTCGATGGTCTCAGGCGCAGGTTGGTGGGATCTACGCTCGGGGGTCTCCTTAGGGTCAGGGGCGTAGGCTTTGTCCTCAAAAAGTCAGTCAGCCTCGCCACCCATCTCACCACAGACGGGCCTTCTCCTCCTGTACCATACATCACTTGTACATTCCACGCTCTTGTAGCACCATGCGGCAACTCCGGTTCCGGGGTACGATCTCCCGGTGGACCATAAAGGCCCTCATCTGCCGCCTGACCACGGATAGATTCTGGCGACAAAAACGGTCTTTCAGCTGTTCCACTGCCGCCTCCAGCCTCTGCCTCCTGCCGGGTCCTCTGCCCCGGTTGGAGTCCTGTGCCAGAAACTTCCGAAACAGCCTCCATCAGTCGCGGTCCTCTGTCCGCTGATCCTTCCGGCACTACCGGCCGGGGATCCACTCCGTTTGGCAGCTCTGGCCTTTCAGGACGAAGTCCTCCATTCATGGCACCATATGCGGGGCCCATGACTTCTCCTTCCAGAACTGGTGTTCGCGCATCTCGAGCTTGGGAACTCATAACCTGTGGAATATCTGAAGGGCTTGAGGGGCTCGTTCGGGTCCTCCGTCGATAAAGCGTAGTGTCACAAGGCTTACGGTGCCTTCAAACCCAGCTCGCGACCATTAACCCTCGAGGCTCCCTATCGAATTGTTTTCCGCACAAACAGCAAGTCTGGCAACGTTCTTGCCTTACATGGCTACTGCTTCTGCCGATCATGGCTTAGCGTCTGCCGATTATGGCTGTGCTTCTGCCGATCATGGCACATGCCTTGCTGCTGGCTTCCTTCGAGCCTTTCGCATCACAGCAAGCAAACCTGGGCAGCTCCACTGTCCTGACTTTACATGGTTTGCTTCAAAGACACAAGTGACATGCAGAGGTTTCTTCAGAATCCTAGTAGCATTGATAATCATGGTTTTGTTGTTGTTGCTGCTGTAGTTACAATGTGGTTGATGCTGTTTTTGTCCTGGTCGTTGCGGGCAATGACTGGTTTCTTTCATGAAGTTGTTTCTGTACTGGTGTTGCTGTTGCTGTCGTCGCTGTTGGTCCTGATGGTGTTGCAGTTCAGATCCACCAGGCAGGTCACACGAATTTCAAGATGCACTGCATCAAAGTGCCGGGGTGTAGATCCTCCGGGCCTTTGCAAACCCAAACTCAAACAAAGATTTCGTACTTGCTGGTCATGTTGGACTAGGGCTGATGCAAGCTGTTTCTCTTTGCGTACTTGCGTGTCCACGACATCGGGGTGCTCGATGAAAGGGCCAGTGAACCCAACCGCACCAAATTTTCCTGGTGGGCATATTTCTCCGATATCATCATCACCGCCATCATCTTACACCGACATTACATGTTATTGCAGGGACATGTTTGCGTATTGAAGTCATTGAACATCGAAGATGACGAGAAAGAAAGATACGAATCTGATGCTGATATTTACGATACTTCTACGATTTGTGATACGGACGAAACTCCTGGAACGACTCGAACCCCTAAACCCTAAACCGAAACGCATGCTGCACATCTGTCCCGAGTTGCAGCTTGGCTCGCTTGGCTCAGGGGCCGATGTTCTCATCTTAAGGCTCAGGGTTTAAGGTGTAGGGTTTAAAGCTTAGGATTTAGGGTTCAGCAGCTACGGATCGAGCCGTCTTTATTCCAGCGCGTCGTGTCGAGTTTGACAAGTACCCGGTCCCACCCACAGAATCCCATAGCCCATAACATCCGAGAACAGAAAGCTTCTTTATCAGCCACAAATATGAAATATTTCTGTTCAATGTGAGACACTATCAGGCTTGAACACGAAACGTTAAATCTTAAACGTTAAGGCCAAAAAGCTGAATGCTCGGGCGCAAAGTTGAACGGTACATGTTAAACTAAACGCTAAACCGTACCTGCAAAATCTTAAACACTAAGATCTGAACTCCACAAGCAAAATCCTAAACGGTAAAACCAACACGCTAAGGCTTAAATCCTCAACGCTACGTCGTAAATCCTGAAACCGAAATGCTGAATCTCAAGTGCAAAGGTCTAAATACCTAAACGCCACATACTAAAACGCTACATCCAACACGCGAAAGCCTAAATGCTAAATCTCGCTAAACCCTAAACGCAATGGTCTGCATCCGACATGCTCAAGCCTAAACGCTGCATCTCCCAAGGGCTAAATCCTAAAATCTCAATCCTAAGCCTCAATGCTATGGTCTATATCCTCAACGCCTAAACGCTATATCCGGCATGCTAAGGCCTGAAACCACAAGCCCTAAACGTTTAAGCCCCTAACCCTCTGGGGTCCAAACCCTAAGTCCCAACACCCTTTATAGAGGCCTTAAACCCGATCTCAAGCCGGCCCTGAACCGTAAACCCTAAACTCCAAGCCCCGAAACCCCAGGCTCTAAATCCTGAGCCCCAAAACCCCAGGCCCAAACCTTAGGCTCCAAAACCCAGCAATTTGCAGAGCAAAAACAAACAAACCTCAAAACAATATGTAAATATGCACATATATAAGGATGCAGGGTTTAAGCTTTAGGATTTAGACTGTAGGAATTAGGGTGTCGGTTTGTAATGAAGCTGCGCTTGAGTCCACTGATGCGCAACACAACACCCAGGCACCACACCACCCCAAACTGTCATGTCTTGCCCTAGAAACCCTAAATGCCTAAACCCTAAACCCCTATAACCCTAAATCCCAAACCCTAAAACCTAAACCCTAAGCCCCATACCCTTAAACCGAAAGCGTGACGACAAAACCCTTCGCCACCCGTCCTCATCCTCCTGAGCTGGGCAGGCTTATGGTTTCGGACTTGTTTTCAAAACGGAATCGAAATGGGATAGTGCAAGAATCTGTAAAATGGTTTCCAAATGGGATACTATAACGGCTTCTATCGGGTTTAATGCTTTGGGTTGTGGGCTTGGGTTTTGGGTTTTGGGGTTTATGTTTGGGTTTCAGGGGGAACTGTGCTTTGGGACGTAAGGTTCTGTGCGGGTGATGCCTTGGGTTTACATTATAAAAACACCACACCCCCAAGCCGTATCGTAGCTAGGAAGGCCCATCATAGGGCCTGGCCCACCTTCTAGGAAAATGCTTGTTAAGCAACCTGATCGCCTACTATCCTTTTGCTGACGGAAACATCACACTGGACGTCAAACACTTTAGTATGAAGCGTTCTGGGACTGAGCCTGTCTGTTCTCGAGGCCTTCATGATTGGAATAAGGTTATGATGCATACTACACTGTAATCACAAAAAGAAGTGGCCAGGTCCACTTCCCTACGCCCGTTCTGCTCACGGCCTTCTCGAACACCGGGCGGCCCATGAACTCCTCCATAAACGTGCGGAACTTGTCACGGGCCTCGCGACGAGACTTGGTGCTCCGCGGAGGCTCAGATTCGCGCTCGATTGCATGGGTGCGCCTTCCGCCTCTTCTTGGCTGCCTCTGCCCTCTTCTTGTGCTCCGTGCACGGTACCAGACTAGTTGTGACGCGGACAGCTTGCGGAAACGTAACGAAGGAAGCCCGGACTCAGAGGAGCTGCGGCGCCATGCCTGAGCGAATGAAGCGCGCAACAGAACCGCAACATCGTGCATCCAACACCCACCTCGTCGATAACAATGGGCCCGACCTTCAACATATGCGTGGTCTGCATAACATGTGACACAGGCACCTGTGGCGCGAGGCCTACTTGAGAAAGATATCCGGGGCTGGTGCTTCCGTGCAAACAGTAACGCGACAGAAAGCTGTCATGTAGGTCTGGCAAAAAAGTCGCAGTCCCCGGGGCTTGAAGCCTCTGTCAGCGCGTCACGGATGACGCGCTTAAACATTTGTGAATGGCGCACACCCTCTAACAGGCTGGCATTGTCATCGACCATGTCCGCCCAACGCGGGATTGAGCGAGCCATTGCAGATGACCTTGGAGTGGGCGGCTCATTCTCGATGCAACTTGTGAGAAGCTCTCGTAGCCTTGGAAGGAACCTGATGCGGGAGGACCAGATGATGGGACTTGCATGCTTGTGATGGCTACGGCGCATTGTGGGCAAGGCATGACTTTCCGAGAAAGGCCTCGCATGCGTTCTGTTCTTGATAATTATTATGACGGCCTGCATGCGGATTTTTGAAACGGGTTCAACTGGATTCAGTTGTTCATGGCCGCACGGTTTTGCGATGCACCATGGGGAACCTTGATGCAACACAGGGCCCGGGCAAAAAATGGACGCACGCATTGCAGCAGACCATGCAGATCATTGTGGCGGCGCAAAGATGCTGTGATATCAGTACGGGTCAGACCGAGTATGTCATGATGGCTGGGCCATGGATGCTGTGAACTCAAAATGCGTTAGACCATGTCGTCACCATGGTCGGGTCAGCCTGGTCAGCATGCTGTGAGCTTAGATCGCATCAGACCATGCAAATCGATATGGTGGGGGCTGGATGCTGTGAAAACTTAGACACCACGTTGGACGATAGTGGGAAAAGATGTTCGAGCCCCCAGTGTCTTGCACTTGCAGGAAAACGCAAGCCTGCAGGAGCAAGTAGAGCAATGAAAGGTGATAGTTAAGTTACTACGCAAGTAAGCTATACTATAGCCCAAAACCCATTCCAATCATGAGGCCTCCATATGGGAGTTTCCAAAAATGCCCTAAATAGTAGGATCCTTATTATAAGGACCCAAAAGTAAGGTACCCCTGCTTATCGGAAACCCCTTGTTACTACTGGGCTCTAGTGGGTGAGGGGGCAGACGTTGCAGTGCCAGGAGTCGGCTGTAGGCAGCTCGTCCACTGCATCGTCCTCCTGCAACTTCTTCTTGCTTTCGGGTTTCGGGCTTAGGGTTTAGGGGCACTTTTTTAGGGTTTGGGGTTGGAGATTACCGGACTCAAAAAGCGAGGTTAGAAGTACCTTGATTAGGGTTGTTTGTACTTCTACGTATAGCTACCTTTCGCATGTCCCTAGTTACTAAGTCGCATGATCCTGTAAGTAGGGTTTAACCACACTTGCTAAAGTGAACAAGAGGATACTCGCAGCATGGTCGCCACGAGCAAGGAGTTTGGAGCAGGGGTCAGCGTCAAGAGGGGAGAAGCGTTTAGGATTCCGGCACAGCCTGAACCCGAAACTTGAACGCTAAACTCGCCCGAAACCCCTAAACCCCTAAACCCTAAACCCTAAACCTGCTCAGAGAGCCCCAAACTCCAAGAAGTGGGAAGGTTAGGGTGGTTGCCACGTCCCAGCCACAAGAGTGGCCACCGGTCCTGGGATCCAACACGAGACCCTGATCGAAAAGACTGTGAAACCCAAAGTCTCCTAACTACCTACCTTAAACTACCAAACCCTACTTTTTTGTAGGTTCTTATTATAAACCCTAATATCGAAAATATAGGGACCCTACAAAAAAGTAGGTTTTGGGAGGTTAAGGTATATAGCAGAATGTAGGGTTTCTATATCAGGAATTACTATTATGATTTGGGGAGGTATCCGCCATAACAGT